TATGGTCAATTTCTATATATTGTTGGGTTTAGAATAATACTTTTTTCTTAGAATTTGTCCATCTGTGTTTATGAGTGGTTATATGTCTGTAGTTTTCTTGTTAATATCTTTGTGTAGCCCACTTGGTATCAGTAATATTGGCCTCGTATTCCTTGCTCTTCAATCCTCTGGGAAAGTTTTTGTACAATTAGCACTATTTCTGCCTTAAGCATTTATAGAATTCAATAGTGGAGCTATCTGGGCCTAAAATTTTCTCTGTGAAAAAGTTTAAAATTACAAATTCAATTTTTAAAAATATTTTTAGAGAGATTTTTGCTATAGGACATGTGTATGCACCGAGGACACAGAGAGAAAGAGAGAAAGTAAGAAACCACCCCCCAGGGTGGGAGGATGGCCTCGCTGCAATCCCTTCTCCTTCATTCTCCTCTAGGGCTTTTGGGCACACACGCACGTGACTTGAGTTCCAAGCCACTGGATCCAGGACTCAAACCTGGGTTGACAAGGTGGGAGTCCAGTGACTTAACCACTATACCACCTGCTGGCCCATGTCACGGGGCTTTTTTAAAGTTAGCTTCTTTTTTGTGGGGGGAGGGGAGGTTTTTGCTATAGGTTGTGTGTGCTTGCTAGAAGGACAGAGAGAGACAGAGAGAGAGAAAACAAGAAATCACCACCCCCCCCCAGGGGCCATGGCCACGCTGCAATCCCTTCTCCATTCTCCTCTTGGGATCCTGGGACACACGCACAAGCGCCTGGTGTGAGTTTAAACCACTGGGTCCAGGACTCGAACTATGGTCCACTACATGGGAGTCCTGCGACATAGCCATTACTTTTGCCACCTGCCGGTCCTCTTTTTTTTTTTTTTTTTAACTGAGCTGTGGTAGATTGTCCTTCATAGAAGTTGCCCATTTTATTTAAGTTGTGGAATTCATTGGCACTAACTTGTTCGTGATATTCTATTATCTTTTAATAAGTATAGAATCTATAGTGATGCCACCTCTCTTCCTCATATTATTCTGCCTTGTTTTTTCTGATTGGTCTGATTAAAGATTTCCAGTTTTGTTGATATTTCAAAATAATACACTTTTGATTTTATTGATTTTTCTCTATTGGTTTTCTGGGTTTTTTTTTTTGCTGTGTTGGTTTCTGTTATGATCTTTATTATACTCAGTTTTATTGATTTTTCTCTATTGGTTTTCTGGGTTTTTTTTTTTGCTGTGTTGGTTTCTGTTATGATCTTTATTATACTCAGAGAATATATTTTGTATGACTTGAATTCTTTTAAATTTATTGAGCTTGTTTTATGTCCCATAAATATGGTTTGCCCTCATAAATGTGTCATGTGCACTTGAAAAACATGCATATTCTTATGTGGCAAGGTAGAGTGTTCTACAAACTTTAATTTGGTTACGAGTTTCCACACTTCTATATCCTGATTTTTTTACCTCCTTGTCCTAGCAATTATTGAGAAAGAGGTAATTTTTTTTTTTTTTTTTGAGAGGTTTTTGCTATAGGGCGCATTTGCTTGCCCGAAAAACAGAAATACAGAGAGGGACAGAGAGACAGAAAGCGAGAAATCACCCCCCCAGGGGAGATGCCCATGCCTCAATCCCTTCTTCTCCAATCTCCTCTCAGGATCTTGGGTGGGCACGCACATGCGCCCAGCATGAGTTTTAAGCCACTGGGTCCAGGACTCAAACTGATGTAGACTACATGGGAGTCCAGCGACATAGCCATTACGCTAACTGCTGGTCCCTGAGAAAGGGGTATTGATATTTCTGACTATTAGCAAAGATTTGTCTGGTTCAGCCTGCATTCTACTGGCTTTTACTTCATTTACATTTAAACTTTATTAGATGCATACATGTATTGAATCAACATTCTGAAATCATCTTATTCTTGGCAATATTCTTTGCTCTAAACTCTATCTGTTATTAATATTGCCACTCCAGCTTTCTTTTGTCTAGTTTCAGGATGGTATATACTTTTCATTCTTTTACTTTTAACATGGTAGGCAGCATATAGTTGGATCTGAACATTTCTTTCTTGCTTGCTTGCCTTTTTTTTTTTTTGAGTAAGTTGGGATTGATCACCTTTGGAAAGCAAAATTACAGATGGAGATAGAAGCAAAAAGTTAACTCATACCTCATTGCTTGGAAAAAGTGTTGCAGGTTACCATGAGGCCTTTAATGGAAGTGTTGGTTGATTTTTGTTCCTTTCTGTCTTAAGATAAACTAAACTTTATTGCCTAGCAGAATATAAAACCTATAAAATCTGCTCAAAATGAACAGTTATATGTGTAAGTTATGAGGATAGTATATTCATTTCCTGCACAATCCTGTTCTACAGGCTTGTAAAATTAATTTTAAGAAAATCATGGTGTTATGGACATTACAGACATCTAGACGCACTCGGCTGTTAGAGGCAGTTCTCCCATGATTAATGAGGAGAAAGCAGAGGGAGATCAATAAAGCAATACTATAAATTTAGAAGGATGTTGACTCAGCATTCTCTTCCCTTTAACCAACTATATAAACAAATAAACAAAAACCTGGATGAGATATGAGGCAAACTGGAAAATGTATCTTAGATGAGTCAGATAAACACATAGCAAATCTATCAACCCATTTATAGCTTTCTAAAATAAATTTTGTATGGTACTTTTTAATAGCACTTTTTATTGAGGTACGCTTCACATAACATAAAATTTACTATTTTAAAGTATATACTTCAGTGACTTTTAGTGTATTCACTATGTTATACAACTATCACCACTATATAACTCCAGAATATTTTTATTCTCTCATAAAGAAACCCTGTTCTTATTAGCAGCTAGTTTCAATTCTTCCCTTCTCTTACATCCTGGCAACCACGAATATTTTACAGCTTTATAAAATTTTCCCATTCTGGGCCTTTCATATAAATAGAATCATACAAAATGTGCCCTTTTGGGTATGTCTTCTTTCACTTACAATAATGTTTTCAAATATATGATAAATTTTATCATACTCATCTTTAAAAGGTATTTTATTTGAATACCATAAAACCATCTGCTCAGAATAGTAATAGACACGTGGAATAACTAGCGGCGATTGCGTCGACGATTTGGAGGAGCTAAGTTCCAGGGCTGATTTCTTCACACTACGACTTCTGAAGACTCAGTCTCCTCTGGGGTAAAATAAGTGTGTCAGATAAGATGAAGTCAAGGTTTTGCTCTTTAACTTCAGTTACTCCAGGACCCTCTAAGGTACAGAGACACATCTTGCTTGTCGTTTTGGAAAAAGTAATTGTTACGAAACCAACTAACTAGATTTTAAAACTTTAGTTCCTAACTTGCTTCCAGAGACAGGAAGTTTGAGACTGCTATCAGTAACATTTTGACCTGATTATAAACTCAGAAAGTTAATATCAGTTTTTTTCATCAGAACAGAAATAGAATAAAAATCAATTTGAGCTGTTTGTATCTGGGTGTGTTTTTTCTCTCCAAGTCTGAAAAGGGATAATATAATCACTGGTTTCCATTGTGACTTTTTCCCTGATAAAAAGCTTCAGGATTGAGCCCAGCAGGTGACATGGTGGTTAAGGTGCTGGACTCCCACATCGCCAACCACAGTTCAAGTCCCAGACCTGGTGGCTTGAAAATTACGCTGGACATGTGTGTGTGCATGCCCAACATCCCAGGAGGAGAATGGAGGAGACTGGTGCATGGTTATCCTTCCTGGGGGTGGGGGGTGATTTCTCACTTTCCCTCTCTCTCTGTCTCTCTGTCTCTCTGCAGCAAGAGCAATGTGACTTATGGCAAAATCTAAAAAAAAGTTTTTTTAAATCTTTCAGATTAAAAAAACTATTAGAAATGTGTACATATGCACTATGTTTCTATATTTTTATTTTCCTACCTTACTCACTATAATATCTCAAGTAGCCCGAGCAATATCAGGTTTAGAACTGGCATTGCACATTCAATAGTTGTTGAATGAACAGTGGATGACTGCATGATTGCACGGAAGTCACAGAACTAATGGCAGGTCTAAACAATGAAGACAAGAGACATACTTTTCTCCCCCATTTCTTCTTACAACAGGAGAACCATTAAAATTTAAAACACATGTTGTCCCCAGGAATATCAGAAACTAAAGGAACAGTGTCTTAAGACTAGAAATAGGTTTACTTTATTAATTCTGATACAACACTAGGTAGAGTACACTTAGTATGCTGCTGTTTTGCAGGAATTAACCAGCACTAATTAATGGATTAAATTACGCAGAACCATAGTGTTAATTAAAATATGTGCATATCTTTTTGGCTGTATTAAAAATAAATAAAAACAGAAATGCAAATGTCACCTGGTTCATTTTCACTACTCCTTGGAAGGAGATGAAATAATGATCATATGTTGTTTAAGTTTATTTTTAGCAAATATATGCTATGTGTTTATTAAAATCAGAAGCAGAAGATTCTGAAAAGCTAGACATCGTTGATATAGTGGGAATTTTCCTGAGTTGTTCCTCAAGGTTGGGGAGAAGAGCTGGGTGACAGGTCCTGTTCTCAATGCTTTCCTTCCTAGTTCCCATCTTTTCCTACTCAACCCCCTTTCACCTCTCTCCCCTTTTCCCTCCTACAGTCTCTAATTCCACTTTTACCCATTAACTCCATTTCCTTCTTCCCAACACCTACCAAATTCTGAAGGGCAACAGTAACCCCCAAAGGCACAGGAAAGTATCCCAGTTCTTTTTAGCCCCGGGTCAAAGCCCAGTCATGAGAAAGAAATGCAGGTTGTGATGAGTATTGGCCAGTACCCAGACTTGTCTGAAACTCTATTTGTATCTTCTTTCAATTATTTGAATTTTCCAACTTGATCAATGCTTTCAAAATCAAGGACATTTTAAAATACTATTTTATTATATCTTTTTAAAACAGTTATTATTTGTTTATTTCTTGAGATAGAAGAAGAGAGAGAAAAAGCAGGCACCCCAACAGAGCCCTTATGCCATGATCCACCCCCTGCCTCAACCAGCCAGGATCACAGGCATGATTACATGCACCTAGCATATACAGGAATATTCAGGACGTGAACTCATGACCTTCTCAGGAAATTTCAGCATCACAGAACATTGTATTACCACTACACCACCACAGTTGGCCTAGTATTTCTGTGAGAAAAGTCAAAATGTTCTCTCTTCATGCTAACATTTCAATTACAGTTAAGTATCATTTTCATTGCAGAAATTATGGTAAGTCAACCATACTGACCGGGTTTTGCAGAGTTGATACAGTTCTGCCAGCTTTAAATAGTCAACATAGTTCCAGAGTTTCAGTAGGGAGCAGTGGCTCTTAAATTCCTCATTCCTTAAACTTTTACTTTCCCCTCTAAAACCTAACCCGGCAGGTAAACAACCCTTGTTTCTCCTGAACCTTGCCTTTCTACACTACGGAAGTTGTGGGACACAGGAATTTGAATGAAGTTGATCCCGAGGGTAGATTTGGCATCTTTTCATTAAACACCAGAGACTGCTTGTGTCCCACAGCAGAGCAGCATGTTATACGAACCTGAAGCCTACCTGTGACATCTGAGGTAAGGTTGAGCCCGGGGAACCACAATTACATTTAAGGAAGAGGTAGAATGTCTGAGTCTTACCCCAACCTCTCTTTGTGCACTTTTCTATGAATCAAAACCTTTTCAAATGAGTAGAAATAAAAACAAGCTTGTTATGTCTTTCAAAGTTCAGATACTGAACTTTCTTCAAGCATTTTTAGCATCTGTAACACTCAAGGTATTAAAATAAAACCTGCCTCAAAACTCCAGCCTGCTTGACAACCCCATTCGGATTCTGAAGCTACATGGTGCTTGGATAGCAAGTTACATTTGGCACAACTATATTTTTCAGTAATTATGAAAAGAGGAAAATGTTGAATGAATGTTTCAGAAGTAAAGTTCTAATTCCCCGTAATCAGGCCTCGATTTCAGAAGGAAGTTCTGGAAAGGCTGCACCATGCTTCATTGCTACAAGAATGTTTCAGTCAGCTGAGATTATAAATTAATAAGGTAATGTTCCTTTAGAGAATCTAGTTAACATAGTATTTCTGCAAATATAAAAGATTTAAGGACTCGGAATCACAGTAAAATCCCTTCTGAGAATATAGGCTTTCCAGAGGTCTGTTTTCAGTATTTTTTTCTCTCTGTTTCAGCATAGTTCGTGGGGACACGTCTTAGGAAGCAGTGCTTTTCTCCCACATGTCAACCATCATTTATTATACACACACTCTTTATTTTGAATGTCCTTGAGAAGTGCCAGTTCATATGATAAACACAGATGAAGAAGCTGTGTTTCATCACATTTCTCACGGCTGGGGAAACACAGGCATTTGCTTTGGAAGGATACAATGCCAACATCCATACTGGAACAGGAGATGTTTCCTGAGTGGTGAAGGGTACATCTCTGAAGAATAGGCAGCCTCCTGAATTCTCACCTGAGCGAGAGTTTTGCAGATGAGCCTCCATCTGCAAGAGTCTCCCATATAAAACCTTTCATCTTCTCACCACAGAGAATTCTCCTTTCCACCCACAGTTTCTAATCTCAGGTTTCACAGTGAAATGGCTTTGAAGAGACAAACCAATCACTTACAGTTCAACCTTGGCTTAATGCATCAGTAAGGTTAGCTTCATCCAGACTGAAGTGGGAGGAGTATCTACAATATAGATTTTAGAATGGACTCACTGAGGTAATAGGTCAAAAAACAAAAACAAACAAACAAAAAAACGAGGATTATAAAGTTAGAGCTGCCTGAGATTTAGAGTAGGTAATGGTGAGGATCTTATGGAATAAGCAAATCTTACATCTTATAATACTACAGGCATTTATTTTGAAAGGCATTGAGATACAAAAATTGTATCTCCTTTTCTAAGAAATATTAATTTACCAATCTTCCTAGACCTATTCATCTGTTTCATTTTCAATAGAATCACAGAGATGTATCTAGTCAGCAACGACAATTTGTTTTCTGTTAGGCAATATTTACGAATCCTGTAAATAAATAGGCAAGAAATCCCAGCTGAGCACCTGTGGGGCCAGTTGCATTTAGAGTTTCCTGGAACACACGTAATTGTGAGGTTTGCCCTTCCTACAGTCCTTGGTGTGCCATCTCCCTTGTCTTTGAACCAAAATGCAGTTCTTTCCAGGCCTTGAACGTTGAGGGGGTCCTTTTCTCCAGTTGGTAAAAGTAACAGGTTCACCACCAATCCATTCCCAGTGGCCAGCATGTACTTGGTCATTTAAACCTAGTGTGAACCAAAAGAAGTGCGAAATAATTTTATTACATATTTGCTTTGACATCCCCTCTATTGTTGTAAGCTGAGTTATCACATGGAAACTTGAGCCCATATTCTAAAACAAAGAAAAGAAACTGAGACTATGGTAAGACAAAGATAAGAACATAAACCCTTTGGGGTCATGCTTTTGGGGTCCAAATTCTAGTGACACCACTTGGTAGGTGAGTATCTTTGGGCAGGTTACTTAGCCTCTATGAGTTTGGTTTCATTATCTAAGGAATGAGCATAAAAATATTATTAAGGGCTGGTTTTTAGTTTGTCTTTTTTTTTAATTGCCTGAGAGATATGTGCTTGCCAAAGAGAGACAGAGATAGGAGAGGGAAGAGGACCTGGTCATGCAGCAATCCCTTCTTCATTTCTCTATCTCATCTGGACTTGGGGCATGCGCATAAGTACTTGGTGTGCTTTACAAGCCACCAAAGCATGAATTTGAACTGTGGCATCTGGCTCCCTTAACTATGAGGCTACAGGTCTGGCCCATGGCTGGGGTTGTTCTGAGGATTAAATAAGATGATGTAAAGCTCTTGGCACATATCAGTGCTTAATAAATGACAACTGTTATTATTCATGTCATTCTATATGCAGAATGCCTATCACAGAGAACCATTCTCTTGTCTATGATTCTTCTTCATCATTATGTAAATATCTTGGTTGTCATATTTGAAAGTAGCTTACTATGAATTATTTTTAATCTGGAGCTTAAGATGTTCCAATCAACTACAACGCCAATAAAAAACAGCTTTTCTCTACTTGCTTTCTATTCCCACTGGCAACTTGGGCAAATTACTCTTTCAAGTTGTAAAGCTTTTAGAATATTTTCTTAAAGAAGCATTTCTCCCCTTCACGCTCTTTCGTTGTAGAAATAAAAAAGAAAAAATGAGAAAGGATCCCCCTGCAATAGCATGATCTGACATCTCCCAAATTGGACTGTTCTAGATACTTTGCATATAACTTCCCACCACCACGGTCAGCCAATATTTTGGGGTGGGACCAGTGCAATACTTTGGGTTAGGAATACTCTACTTCTTCTGGGTTGTTCTTTGACTTATTGATCAAATGATACTATGCCTAAGTACTCTATGAAGACTGTCTTTTTTTTTTTTTTTTTTTTTTTTTGAGAGGTTTTCGCTATAGGGCGCTTGCGCTTGCCAGACAGACAGAGAGAGACAGAGAGAAAGAAAGCGAGAAATCACCCCCCCAGAGGGGATGGTCACACCACAATCCCTTCTTCTCCACTCTCCTCTCGGGATCTTGGGCATGCACGCACACGTGTCCCGCGTGAGTTTTAAGCCACCGGGTCTGGGACGTGAACTGCGGTCGACTACGTGGGAGTCCAGCGACATAGCCATTACGCTAACTGCTGGTTCCCTGAAGACTATCTTAAAGTCAGTCACTGAGGATGTAGAGAAAATTTACCTTCTGGCCCCAACTCTTAATATGTTCAGACCATTTTAGAATTTAGAGACCCATTGAGTATTACAGAAATTTTGAGAAGCCAAGACTGGGTTAATCAAAGTGTCCTCAAATATAATGTCTCCAAAGGAAAGTAGTGAGAAAATTGGCTTTGATGTGCCTGGGAAATTCATTTCTAATGTGCCTTGATAGACTTCATTATTATTGTTAAAACTGTAAAAATAAATGAAAACTTCAGAAAATAATAAATTTAAGATCACCTGTAATGCTCAACTGAAGGTCAATAATTTCTAATTCTTTAGCATATTAGATATATGTGTATATATATTTATACATATACCACATGCATATAAATTTCTGTTTTTAGTTGCCAGATTGTGTATGCACTTGTTAGAGAAAGAGAAACAAAAACAGAGAGGAAGATGGGGAAAGCATCTCAATGGAGTCTGGTCACACCACGATCTATTCTGTTCCATTTCTCCATCTGTCAGGTGTTAGAGCACGCGTATGCACGCGCGTGCGCACACACACACACACACACACACACACCTGGTGTGTTTCTCAAGCCTCCACTGCTGGGACTGACACTATGGTTGGCCAGCTAGGATCTAGCACCTATATCCACTAGGCTATGGGCTGGCCTTAAATTTCTTTTTTTATTCTAAATTATTTCATACTTCACATGGTTGTGGACCCAGCTTTCTAAGTTAGAACCTTGCCACAAACGAATTCATTTTTTATATATAACATATATCCAACATATATTTGTTGAATGCATTAATGAATAAATAGGCATTTTAGCTAGTATTTCATGACCTGCAAAAGCATTGAATATTCCTTCATATGGCTATACTATATTTAATCATCCCCTATATGTAACTACTTTTAATTTTTTCTACTTTTAGAAATATCATCACATCAAATTTTCTTACCTATCAATCTGAGCACAACTCTAATGATTTCTTTGGGATAGATGTCTAAAATGTCTAAAAATGAAAGTATAATGTCAAAAGACTTAAGATGGGTTTTAAAAGGCAGATGTTAGACTAACCGTCTAACCATTGCCTGTTATTATAAACCACAATCATTTGGTCCATGGGAGGGGCCATGTCTCTTCATGCCCATTGTTTTCCCCTCCTCAGCGTAACACGGATACTTGCCTATCCAAAAGGGCTGTCTTCCACTGACATCCCAGAGCCACTGCATGTGCTGCCTGGAGAACACGGTTGCAAGGCTGCCCAGGTGTCTACACACAAACAAACAAAGATGAAATGTCAATAGCAAGGAGTTCATTTTTCTGCTGATATAAAATGCATGCCACAAATAAAAATGTTTAAATACACAAAAGAAAAGTATATTGGGGCTCGTAAGTGATACAGGTATAACACTGGACCCCTTCGGGAAAGGTCATGGGTTCATGTCCCAGAAACTCCCTAGGCATGCTGGGTGTATACACAAGTGTCTGTGATCTGGACTGGCTGAGAACAGGGCTGGATTGCAGTGCAAGGATTCTTTGGGGATGCCTATCTATCTCTCTCATAGAAAAAATAAATTAAGGGGCCTTCAGGTGGCATGGTGGTTAAGGTGCTGGCCACTCCCACATGGCTGACCAGGGTTCGAGTCCTGAATCTGGTGGCTTGCTTTCTTGCTTTTCCTTTCTCTCTCTGTCTCCCTCTGATCAAACTGGAAAATAATAATAATAAAGTTAAATCAAGTAATTCTTTAAAAAAATAAAAGAAGAAAAAAAGGAATTAATAAACTTTTTAAAAAATACTAAAAGGTATGTAGAAAGAACTTTATAAGATTATTATTCACTTATTTATTTTGTATTATTTTTTGGCAGAGGGATGTACACTCACTAATGAGAGAGAAGAGAGAGAAAGAGCACTCTCCTAACAGGGTGTGGTCATATTGCAATCCTTTCTCCTCTATTCTTCTATCCCATCAGGTTTCTGGGCATGCACACATGCCTGTGTGTTATCAATCCACCAGTGCTGGGATATGAACCTTAGACTACAATGTGGGATCTGGCTTCCAATGCACAGTCCTCAATGTACTATGGTGCCTGACCCAGAACTTTCCAAGATTTTAATACTTCTTTGTTACTTAATAAGTATCTGCAGTGTGGAGTAAGTAATAGCAAGGTAAATGATCTTTTATTATAATATCTGGGTTTTAAAACATAGCTGATACATAGAAATAAAAGAAATAAAAAGATTACAAAGACCAGCAGTTGGCATAATGTCTATGTCATTGGACTCCTATGCAGTCAACCACAGTTCCAGTTCCAGACCCGGTAGCTTAAATTCATGCTGCGCATGTGTGCGTGTGTGCCCAAGATCCCAAGAGGAGAATGGAAGAGAAGGGATTGCAGCATGGCCATCCCCCCTGGGGGGTGATTTCTCGCTTTCTGTCTCTCTGTCTCTCTCTTTCTGGCAAGTGCACATGCCCGCTAGCAAAAAACATCTCAAAAAAAAAAAAAAAAACAGAGAGAGAAAAAGATTGCAAAAATTAGCAGTACACATCATAATGTGATGTTCTTTACTGAAAAAGATAAATATGGTATTATTTAATATTATCCTTAATCTAATTACCACATACTGCATGCATGCTTGGAAAAGCCATATTATACCCACAAAGATATACAACAATTAAATGTAAATAAGATATTAGAAAAAAAAACAGTTCAGTAGATTTCAAACATCTTTTTTGGAAAACCAACAACTGCTTCCTTTTTAAACTTTTTAGCTTTAATTTTCTAAATTAAAAAAAAATTAAATGTCTTTTCAAGGTTTTTGCCATAGGGTGCATGCACTCACCAGAGAGAGACAGACAGAAACAAAGAGAGGAAAAGTAAAAAAATCATCCCCCACAGGGATGGCCATACCATAGTCCTTTCTCCTCCAGTCTTCTCTTGGGATTTTGGGCATGTATGCACATGTACCTGGTGTGATTTTTCAAGCCATTAGCACAGGACTCAAACCATGGTCAGCCATGTTGCGAGTCCAGCTACTCAACCACCAAATCACCTGTTGGACCCTCACCATCTTTTAAAGATTAATCACTTAATGCCAAAATATTACTTGCCCATGAGAAATTTACTTTGAATTGGTAAAATTTGATAGTTATACAGTTATTTTGATCAAAAGAAAGAAACTCAAACTACTCAGCTAAAATTATTTGAGGTCTGCATTTTGAGCTTGATATGTTTACCAAATAACCCAATAATTATGACCCTTTCATTACACTCAGTGAAGTCAATATAACCCACAGTCAAATCTTTATGTATTGTGTAGAAGTTAAAGCATCTATTTTTATGAACATGAAATAATATTTTCCCACAAAATAGAATTATAAGTTTTTTAGCTAGATGAATTATTCCTATAAGCAATATTTGATTGTGCTTCATTCCCTACCAGCAGTCATTAAAACCTTTAAAAATGTTTTAAGTAAAAAAGTCATTGAATTATTTCTTCTTCTTAAAAAAAAATAAACAGAAAGTTTCAAACAAGGAACAAATACACAATGTATACATGTATCATATCACATTTTACTCCATAAATACATATAATTATTATTTGTCAATTAAAAAGAAATTGAATTAAAAATAAATCATTTTTTAAATTTCTTAAACAAAATTACCAGCATCTTATCTGCCTAATATCCATTGATACGAAAAAAAAAAGTGGGAAACAAAATTATCGACACTTACACAAGATTAGGCAATTGTTAAATTTTATTCAACTGTGTCTTTCCAAAATCCAATTGCATTTCTCTGTTTTTCCATATATAATTTAACATAAGTTGTCAGTTGCTTGATGATTTTCCCCTAGTTATACCAATATCTTGCTGCTCTATAGTGCAATGGTGATTTCTAGGCCAACAGAGATAAGTGAGGCTCCTTGACCTTCCTCTGAATGTCCTCAGACTGCCGGATTGGGGTTTCCTGGCTTGGCTCTGAGCTCATCACTTACTGGCAGCTCCTGTCTGACAGTCACAGTAAGGATGATGGGGCATGTCCTCTCCTCCTTTTCCCTTCATGGCCATTATAGTTATTCTAACATGCCATGAACTTAGAATACAGATTTCAAAGTACAGATTTCAAACTTAAATGTAGCCCTAGGGAGGGCTCGACTGGCTGGTCCAGTCCATACAGTATATTGGACCAAGCATGGGAGGTCAGAGCTCCATTTTTTTCTTTTGCCCCTCATTCCTGTACTGAGTTTTCTGATTTCTTTAATGAACTAATTTCCTTACTGAAATCCTCCAACTTCACAGCCTCAACTTCATCGTCAGGAAAGAATGGATTTTTATCCAAGGATATTTAACATCTCTTCTAGCTTAAACACTTTTGAAACTACCTTTAAAACAGACTGTAAAATCCACTTTAGCTGCTCAGGTACAATTTCAGTTTTCTCTTTTACTTTTCAAAAGCAAAAAGTCCCAAAAGAGCAAGATGGGGAAATATCGGGGTAAAATGTTAGATCATAGTTATTCATGAAAGAAATATTTGTACATTCGTAGGTTGATTTTTTAATAAAAATATTATTCCCTTCGGCTGGTACTCAAATACATATAAAATGTGGTACATATTATCTGAATACATATGTATATATATGGATAGAAAATAAGATACATATGCATATATATACATCTAAGAATCTTCTGACAGTGGTGAAATTAAAAAAATTCAAAGTATGGAATTAAAAATGAAAATCTTATTTTTTTTCTTTTTTCTTTCTTTTTATTTTTGGTTACAGAAATAAACATCTTTTTTCTTTAAGTTTTTGATTAAGTGTAGGTATATTTCAGGGTAACTCTTAGGATATGCCAGCAGGGGTTCCAGACTCTCCTGTGGGAAAACAAGATGGTTTTATAGATAATGATCTATAATAATAGAATTACCAAATGTACAGTGACTGCCTTAGGAAATGAGCAGATGAGATTACAATATGTAAATTCAAGAAATGCCGAATCTAGAAGTCTGGCTCCTTTGGGTTAGAAAAATAATAAAACACCAATGGGGAGGAAAGGAGATTGGAGATAAAGATTCAGCTGCATTAGCAGTCTGGTTAGAGACAAAGGATAAAGCAAAACTTGCTCCTGTATTGAAACAGGAGCATTGTAGGTGACTCTTTAAGGGCCTTCAGGTATGTATACCAGTATAGGAGCCAAAAAAAAACATAGTCCTTAAAACAAAATCAAAACAACAACAGAAAGTGAGAAATTACCCCCCAGGGGGTAGGGCCACTGCAATCCCTTCTCCATTCTCCTTCTGAGATTTTGGGCATGCATACATATGCGCCCAGCATGATTGTTCAGCCGCCAGGTCCCCACTCAAACCATGGTTGTCCATGTGGGAGTCCAGAGCCTTAACCACCACACTACCTGCTGGTCCCTAAAAACATCTTCTAAAATACTTAGTGAGAAAGTAAGTCTCTGGGCAATAAAATGTCAAAATGAATTTTGCATCATAGAAGAAACTGACTAGTCCCAGAGGAACATCCATTTTTCAGGCTAGTGGCATTGGAAAAGAAGACAAAATGACCAAGAAAAGTAATAGATGAAAAGCAGCAGGGAGGCCAAAAGATCAATAAAAATGTGCTGAATGGGTAGAAGAGGATTTGGGGTTCTGATAAAAATTACATCTTGGTGGTGGCCTCACCCTCAAAATTATCCTCCTACAATGAGCGATTTACTGAAATATGACAATCTTCTCTTTTAATTGGCTTTTAATCGGCTACTAGACTGTTTAAGTGACGGTAACTAGTACAACTATAACCATCTTCTTGCTCTTTTGAAATAAAACGCATATTGAAGTATTATGCAAATGCAATCAGATGAAATATTCATATCCATTTTTTCAATTAAAAATTTAAAATTAGAAGCTTTTTGTATTTAAAAAATTTCACACCATATATATTTTCCTTACATCACCTCCATACACTGGAATACCATCAGAAACGGTAGTTGATTGATGCTTAATTTCTGGACCAATGTGGTAAACAGATACTGTGTTACTTGAAAGAGTTTATATGGTTGATAGGTAAATTATTAGTCACTTTCAAAATACGGTGGAAAAAAACTCTAGTTGTCCCTAAAACCTCTTATTCTGAGAGTTTTTTCATTTTACACCTAAAAAGAAATCAGTTTTACAGCTTAACATAATTCCCTGAGATCAGAATTAATCAAAATAATGTCAAAATAATTTGGAAAAAGGAGTTCTGAACCTGCCTGTAATGTTATGTTTGGTTTGTTGGACATGGTCACTAATCCCTTAAAAGGAGAGGTGGAACATTTTCAGATGTCATAATAGATATTATAATGGTTTATTCCAGAATAAAATGTCTTTCTGCTTATAATTATGATTTCTAAATACCATTTATATCCTTCTATATGCACTTAACCAATATTGCATGCAACGCATTATTATTTTAGCATTTGGATGGAGAGAGCTTTTTAATTAGACTTATACTAAGACTAACTCGATGAAAAACTAAATCATGTCTTTAAAATTTAGCCACTTTCACTTAAAATAACAAATTTATTTATTCCTTTCTTTCATTTGAGAGAGAAAGACAAGCACCCTCATGCAGCAGTTGCCTCATCCCAAACCTGTCTCAGCCATCCAAGACCAAGGGCCTGTCTGTGCTTAGCAATCTGGGACCCAAACCCTGATCTTCACATGACTTCCAGCGTAATGGAGCACTGCGCTACCACTGTGCCACCACGACTGGACCAATCACTTTCACACTGTTAACAGTTTTGTGGGAAGGAATTATCAGGATTAAATGGTGACCTGACTAATGTAAAGGGTAGTGTTTAGAGATCGCCACACAGGACAGTCGAATCTAGAGAGTTGTAGTGTCTATTTCTCTGAAGTTTACTGAATCAAGCAAATGAATAGGGAACGATTTATTTATTGGGTTACTGGGCTAGTAGTGGAGGATAATATTTCAATCTTAACATGCCTTTGTGGTGAGAGATACAAAATTATTAACTTTCATGTTTGAAAACTTACTTTAGGTTGATCTAACACTAAGTTAGGATAGGCATGCTTGCCAGTACACCTGTGGAGAGAAATCCCCTATACTTAGGGAGCTGCTTGGAGAGCATAAAGAAAAATTCTTATATCTTTCATTTCCTTGCATACTATGAGCAACTAATTTTGCATCCTTGAGCCTCTTTTGTTTCTGAACTTATAAACTATGGCTAATAAAACCTGCTTTCTGCATAAAAAAGAAGGAAAGATCAAGTAATATATGTGGAAGAATTTCATAAACTATGAAGTATAATATAAAAGTGTCATGGGCAAGAAGGTATAGAAAACTACATCAGGCTGGTCTGAAAGGGTCACAGGTGAAGGTGCTTGAAACCAACTTGCAAATGAAATCCCAGATCAAGTGTACAAGGAACTGACTAGGATTTTAAATTAATGTAGGCCTTAAGTTTATTATTGGGATGATTAAATTGTACAATATTAATAGATATGTGAAGAACCTCTCTATAAGTAGTCTTTCTACTCATTATTGAAACTGAACTATAATTAGACAGATCAGTAAAATAAAATAAAATAAAATAAAATAAAAAGAGGTACTGGGAGATTACTGTAGGGTTGTCAATATAGGACATCAATAAATTACTGTAAATTGATTTTTAACACCAAAAAGCTAGAAAATTATCATCTCAGAATACAAAACAGTCTTAAGAAAAGACACGTGGTAACCTTTCACCAATCATGTTACACCAACTATGTTAATGACATCACAACAGCTTGAAGGGATAGAAAGGTATTTCTCAAAACATGCTGTCTTTATTTTTCTTATAACACAAAAGCCGATAAAGTGTCATCGGAGATAACCACAGTTATTTGCATTATCCTTTGAGAATCACTAGAAGATGAATAAGGCTCCATCCAAACTTGAAGTTGGGAGGGATTCTGTTCCATTCTCCTACATTTTACCAACAAATTCTAGCAACATTTTCTTTTTCTTTTTTAATTTGCTACAGGGTACATGCACTGGTCAGAAAAGGAGAAAAAGAAAGCACCCCCCAGTAGGGAGGGCCATGCTGCAATCCTTTCTCCGTTCTCCTCTCAGGATGTAGGGCATGTGTGCACATGCATCTATTGTGTTTTTCAAGTTGCTGAGTTTAGGACTCTAACCGCACAATTGGAGGGATTCAGTCACCTCAACCATCATGCCACTAGCTGGCCCGACCAGTCTTTAAACATTATTACTTTTTAAAAATCTAGGTATAATTTCCATATAATAAATTGCATATGTTTTTTTTGGTTTTTTTGGGAGAGGTTTGTTTTTTGTTTTTTTGTTGTTGTTGTTGTTTTTTGCTATAGGGCACGTGCGCTCGCCAGATAGAGAGAGACAGAGAGACAGAAAGCGAGAAATCACCCCCCAGGGGGGATGGCCACACCACAATCCCTTCTCCTCCATTCTCCTCTCGGGATCTCGGGCACGCACGCACACGCACCCAGAGTGAGTTTAAGCCACCGGGTCCGGGACTCAAACCGCGGTCGACTACGTGGGAGTCCAGCGACATAGCCATTACGCTAACTGCTGGTCCCTAAATTGCATATGTTTTAAAATATTCAATTTGATGAGTTTTGAGAACCATATATATAACCATGAAACGACTACCCAGAATAAAATATTTTCATCATTCTACAACATTATCTCATGATATTTTCTAATCATTTCACATTCTCTTTCAGAGATAATCTTTTTTTTTTTTTGGACAGATTTTTGCTATAGGGTACATGCACTTGCCAGAGAGACAAGGAGACAGAGAGCAAGATATCACCCCAAGGGAAGATGGCCATACCATGCTCCCTTCACCTCCATTCTCCTCTCGGGATTTTGGGCATGTACACACTTACACTCAGTGTGAGTTTCAAGTTGCCAAGTACAGGATTCATACTGTAGTCAACCACGTGGGAGCCCAGCATCTGACCCACTATACCACTACTGGCCCCTAGAGAGAATTTTTTAATTCTAACACCATAGATTAGATTTTACTATTCATGTAAATGAAATCACACAATATGTGTTCTTTTATGTAAGACTGCTTTCTCTCTTCATTCTGTTTAAGATTTATTTAAAATGATATTGCTAGAGGTTTCAGTAGTTTATCCCATTTTAATGTTTATAAAGCAATTTATCAGGGCCAGCAGGTGGTGTGGGGTTAAGGGTGCTGGACTCCCCCTTTAAACATGGCTAGCCATGGTTAAAGTCCCTACTCCATTGGTTTGCTCGCTCTCTCTCTCTCTCTCTCTGGTCAAATATAAATAAATAAATAAATAAATAATAAATAAATAAATAAAGTTAAAAATTCCTTCTCTTGTTGATGGAGAAAATATCAAGTACTTCTACAAATGAATAACAAAAAGGCAAATGACCAAAATTATAATTATTATGAGTAAAGTTACCATGAAGTTTTTTTGTATTTTTTGGCATATATTTTAATTTTTATTGGTTACATACATAAAAGCAGAATTGCTCTTCTAGGGTAGATAGATATACAACTTTATAAAAAAGAACAAAAAACAAACAAAAATAAAAAACTACCAGACAGCTCTGCAAAGTGCTGGTAGCATTTCACACTTCCACCAATAACACATAAGAATTCTATTTGTTCCATATCCGTCTCAACATTTGCTATTGTGGTCTTTATGATTTAAACTATTCTAGTGGACGTGAACTGGTATTTCATTTCGTTTTGATTTTTATTTGCCCGATATCATCTTACTTATTTACCAGTTGTCTATCTCCTCTTGTGAAGTCTTCCAGTCATTTGCTATTTTTTAAGTTGTTGTTTTGTTACTGATTTACAGGAGCTTTTTTTATTTTCTGGATTCAAGATCGTTATTAGAGACAGGATTTGAAAATGGCCTTTTCTGATGTGGTTTGCCCTTTCATTTTCTTAATGGTGTCTTTAGATGAGTAGTAAAAATATGATAAAGTACAAGAACTGATCAATATTAACCAGGGACTTCTCTAGTCTCAATTTTCAGTCATGAGGCATGTTAGTCTAATTGCATAATATCTGGGTTGGCAAGAAAAAAAAGGTCAGGGCTATTCACATATGCATTTTTAAAGTCCTGGTGAACTAGATAAATGTTGTCATCATCTGATCACAAATCATACTTCACTGGATGTTCTGTTCCCCAATAAGCCTTTGCCTACTTGTCCGGCTTTATAATTACCAGTGCCTCTTACACTGCTGAAGGCCTGATGCTACAAAGCCTTTCATTACTATAGATTTCAAACCAAAGGGCAGGAATTCGTACCATGTTTTAAAAAGATATTAAAGCCTGCTAACTCGGAAAGCTTCCTCACGTTTCCTCCTAAAGACTGAGAGAGAAGGTGGAGGAGATGTGGCAATGACACAGCTTGAACAGAAAAGAGCTGAGTCAAGATACATTATCAAGGTTAGGCATAAACCTATTCTGAACTACAGAACTCCCTCCAGGATCTTAAAACAAAGCCGAGAAGGTATTAGACACTCAGTACTCATAAAAAAGCAGCCTTACAGTTTCATGAAAAGATGAAAAAATAGGGGCCAGTGAATGGTGTAATGGTTATGTTGCTAGACTCCCATGTAGTCAACTACGTGGTTCAAATCCCAGACCTGGAGACTTAAAACTCATGCCAGGCACGCGTGCATGTGTGCCCAAAATCCTGAGAGGAGAATGGAGGAGAAGGGATTGCAACTTGGCCATTCCCCCTAGGGGGTGATTTCTCGCTTTCTGTCTTTGACTCTTTCTGTCTCTCCGGTGAGCACATGTGCCCTATAGCAAAAATCTCTTAAAAAAAAAAAAAGAGAGAGAGAGAGAGAAGGGGAGAGAGAGAGAGAGAGAGAGAAATAGTTGGGGAAAGAAAAAAAAAACATTGGATCTGAATAGGGTTCCTTACTGTCTCTTGCAAGCTTGGGCAGCTGCATTCCAGGTGCTTTTCTGCTCTGTGACCAAGGTGTGACAGTAGCCTGAGTGACGGTGCGATCCAGCTGGGCAGGATTTTTCTTCTGCTTCCTGAAAGACATTGTCTGTGTCCATGTCATGATGGCCTTTACAGTCTTAGAGTCTGCCCTCAGCCTAAGGAGCCCTATGAGTCCCCTCATTTCAACAGCGTTGTTTTGTTACCAGAAAGGGAGTCACCCTAATCCCAATTCTCCATCTCAAAAAATGCTTTGGCTTTCTACAGAAAACACTACCATGGTTGGCAATGTTTCAGTGTTACACCTTTGTGGTTTTCTTGTTTGTTTGTTTTAAAGAGGTTTTTGCTATAGGACATGTGCACTTGCCAGAAAGACAGACAGAAAATGAGAAACCACCCCACACACTGCAATCCCTTCTCCTCTATTCTCCTCTCGAGATCTTGGGCACGCATGCACATGTGCCCGGCGTGAGCTTAAGCCACCGGATCCGAAACTCGCACAGTGGTCAACTACATGGGAGTCCAGCAACATAGCCATTACGCCAACTGCTGGTCCCCAGTATTACACCTTTGACATTCTCATAATAATAGTTATAAAAAGTAAATACTTTGTTAAATTATATTGATAGAATTAATGCAATTTGTGATTTTTAATAAGCCACTTTGGAACATTTTTCCTTCTCAACCTTGAAGGTGGTGTAACAAGGGCAGGCAGACAAAACAGGAGCTCAGGGTTACGCATTGGATCATTCCCTCCTACTAGCTTATCTTAGGGCTCTGAAGGGATGGTGCCCAGATGTACAGCCTGGGACCCACCTTGGTTTGGGGGCTCCAGTCTTTCCAGGCAATCCCATTGCATCGATACAGCTTCTGGATGCTTTCTTCAAAATGGAAGAGTCCCTTTAAGTCCATAGTGCAGTTCTTTGGAAATGAGGGCAACTGGTCCTATGGGAAGGAAAGGCAATTTAGAATTGACTTAATGTACGTTGATCACACACTTAGCTCCTTTGGGTCTTCCCTTGCTGATAGCATTTGTGTTGAGCAGACTATCCCCAAGTTCAGATGCTGTTTTGCAAAATAAAGCATGTTTATGGCCCAAAGAACAGCTTGTTATAAGGTGAATAGGGAGGAAAAGGTTTTCATACCTGTCTGAGGAAGTGTGAGTCAGTTGTGGATTCCACCTTATCTGCTTGAGGCAGTTCTGCCACTTTGAGTATCTTTTGTGGCTGCCTAATGATGGACACTTTGGCCTTCCTTCTGTGAACTGGAGAGCTGTCATCTTCCAGTTTCAAGGAAACCATCCCATGATACTTGAAGAAACCAACAAAAACAACAGAGGAAATACAAATGTCAAGATAGCACAAAGTTAAACAAAACAAAAGTTATAAAAATGAGCAATTCAAAAATTATACCTAAGCAAAAAGATACGTTATTTTATAACCATCTAGTCCTCTAAAATAAATTTCAAAACAAGTTTTTAAAAGAAATACATAATTAAAAGATACAATGGTTTCACGCAATAGTTTACATCCACAAATAGGAGAAATTCAGCCATTCTCTGACTTACATTATAGATGATGTCTGTCCCATTTTTAAACACAGAGGATGGATGGACCTGAAATCAGCAGAGGACAACATACGAACAAAATTGAGTAATAATTAGCAATGGTGAAAAACCCTTTCAGGCAGATCTTCTTATTGTCTGAATAGTTTCAAAACATCCATTTCTCAAGATCTCCATGCCCAAATCATTGGAATTTCAGAACTCACCAGGCTTAATCAGAATTTGTACTGGTTGTGTCGATTCATATATGCATAGTTCCCATGAGGGAGAAAAGCCGTCCTTATTTTCTGGCACATATACAAGGGGGGTTCCAAATGTTCGTGCAAAAATAGAATAAAATACAAGTTTATTTTGGTGCAAGAATGTTTTGAAATCTGGGTGCCAGATGGAGGTGCAGTGGTAGAGCATGACGCTCTGTAAGGCTGACCTGCATGGGAAGATTCCAGATTTGTGTCTGGAGAACTCCCCATGCCAGGCATGTACATGTCCATGATCCACAGCTGGCTGAAGCTGGGAATGGACTTGACATCTACCCTATTGATGGTGCTATCTTTCTCTTTCTCACCCATGGAAGAAATACATACACTTAAAAAAAAAAATGAAATCCATGTGTTTTTTTTTTTTTTTTTTTTTAAGAATACATGTTTCCATAAGCTTTTGAACACCCACCTAGAGGTCCAAGAAAACAACGACACATGCACTTGTGAGAGTGTGCTATTTACAATGCTGGGCTATTAAGGTCAAAGCCAAGGCCAGCAGGTGGTGTGGTTTGGGGGCCACTGGATCCCATATGTGGCTGACTCCACAGTTTGGGTCCTGGACCTGGAGGCTTGAGAAACACACCAGGTACATATGTGTACATGCCCAAATTCCAGAGAGGAAAATAAAGAAGGGATTACGATATGGACAGCCCCCACCCTCACCCCCAGGGATGATTTCTCACTTTCCTGCTCTTTCTGTCTCTCTCCAGCGAGCACACATGCTCTATGGCAAAAATCTAAATAAATAAATAGGTCAAAGCTGTAATTTCCATACCCAAGTGGGTCATTTAATCCCATCCTATGCCAGGGTCACTGGTCATTCCCTATCCATGTTGATCACAAAAGAACCAAAACAGAAAAGGTATAGACGAGGCAGTGTATCTGTCACCTCGATTAGTACAGTTAATGCAGTGGGACTGCGTCGCAATCTGTATATCGAAGGCACTGCATGACTGCAAGGAACCTCCCCCTTCACTCACTATGAGAATCAAAACCACTTCCTCAGTATCTCAGAAGGCTTACCAATATCTTTGGATACTTTTTTTTTTTTTGAGAGGTTTTTGCTATAGGGTGTTTGCGCTCGTGAGACAGACAGCCAGAGACATAGAGACAGAAAGCGAGAAATCACTCCCCAGGGGGTATGGCCATGCCGCAATCCCTTCTCCTCCATTCTCCTCTCGGGATCTTGGGCACACACCCACATGCGCCCGGCGTGAGTTTTAAGCTACCAGGTCCGGGACACAAACCGCAGTCGACTACATGGGAGTCCAGCAACATAGCCATTACGCTAACTGCTGGTCCCTTTCGATGCTTTTAATACATACTATATTTCATGTAACAGAAATTATATAATGCCATATACCATAAAGTCCCTGTCCTTACCACTTTGCCATTCCCGTGGGTCCTCAGCCTCCTTTGAGAAAGATCTTTAGAATCAAAGCCCTGTAGGGTGTCTCCCTTGGTGACCTCTAGCCGCTGGGAAGATGGAAGGGGTCTTTTTTCCACATGAAAGGACCCAGAAGCAGGGGGTAAGAAAGACCCTGGGGGCAGAGGGTGCCAAATGCCCTTCTCCCATGCGTTATGCTTGCTTTGGTTGAAGGAATATGAAGGATGGCACTGTCCTGGAAGCAAGCAAGATGGCAGGCGGTCAGTTCATTTCACACCAACAGATAAGGGATCACACTGACACAGCTCCTGAAGCAGCTTGTTATTAAACGTAGATGGATGGTTTTCCCACCAGATGTTGCCTTGCTGCCATTTGCCAGAAACTCCTTTACTCTTCATCAGTTTCCATCCAGGGAAGCTGTGCCCTTCTGCACATCTACAGAGTGATTATAAAGTCACAAAATTGATTTCCTAAACCACAGATGAAAATCGCCGTCGTGATTTTATAATTACACCGTGTACTTGGGAAACAGCCTCACCTCTCTGCATATTCCAGTACTCCTCAAAATTCACGGATGGAGTATTCACTCCACAAGTACTTCAAAGTACTCATCCTTTTCCTAATCTAGAGGTAAAACTAACAATCGCTTAAAGATCTCTAAGAATCAAGTAATGATTATGAAAATTTACATTCCACCGGTACAGAACAAAGACCTAGTAAATCTTAACAAATCTACTGGAAACCTCACTAATTAAATTTCTGACAAAGGAAGGGGGGGGTAAGTGAAGGTCAGACACCTCATTTGTGGATTTTATATTTCAAATTTGGTCAGGAAAGGTGATAGCGATATTGTGGAAACAGATATGATAAAAGAAAAGGCAATAGTGTGCATTTTTATTATAGGGTGAGAAAGAGGAAGAACTAATAGCAGGTAAAAAAAATACGGATCGTAGGGCTTGGCAGGTTAAAAATGGGGTACAGTGTTGGAATGGTACTGGGCACTAGTCAAATGCTAAACAGGCAAGTACTAGAGGGTATTTGGCAGGAAGGAAAATCAGAGCACCAAAGACTTTGGCAGGTCTTTATTTTATTTAGTTCCCAGGTTGTTCTTAGTATCTACTATCCAGGACCTGTTTGGCTCTGCAACCCGAAGTCATTCATTAGCATTCTCCAGCTGCCCCTGTATCTTCATGCCAGCTGCATCTTTCCCATTTATTTTTCACTAATTCCTTCCTCTTTTAGAATTTTCCCGGTCGCACTGCAGTGGGGACTCGGATTTTAGGCATTGAGAGTTCTCTTTGACAGAGGAGAATAATTACAGCCCTACAAACTCTGGGGGAAAATAATTGTCGATAGATTCTCACCAACATTGTTTCCCCCTCGGTGAGAACAACAAACGGGTAGGACAAAAACAACTACGGCACTGACTTGTTGCTTTTCTCCAGCGATAGTTCTTAGCAGGAGGAAAACCACATGAAGCAGAAAGCAGAATAAAGGGGCTGCATCAGGACCGAGGCTGCTTTCTTGACAAGAAATTAAGCATTTTGATTTGAAGGTGTTATCAAGCACGTTGGCTGTTGAAAGCCAGCAGCTATAGCGCCAGGACCGCTTCTGATTTTGAGATGAGGATCAAAAGAATACCTCCTTTTGAGTCCAAAATTTTCACTGCAGCTTTTGTCTTTGTGCCAAGAACTGCATTCACAGGGGAGTTCAGAATTACTTCAAAGACCTCATCATCTTCCTCTAATCCGTCATAGGTAATTGCTATATTCCACATTTTAGTTGACATTCCTACAAGAAGTAAACATTTTAATTACTCTTTAATTGCTATTTCAATCACCTAGGTGTCAGAGAAATATATTAATTAACATGTCTACAGCTAGACTGCAGTAGCCTGAGTGAGCTATTGTACTGCTACCAACTCACTGAGGTCCCGCTGTTCTCCCAAATAATATGAAAAGACCGCATTTGTTCCTGGACAATGATGATGCCGTTGAAATGCAAACACTGTAACAAAAAAGTAAGCTGCATTTATGCAAGGGATGAAAAAAAAAAAAAGGGTTAGCTGATGAGATCCAAGACTTGATTTTTTTTTTACCCAACCTGTCCTGCCTCTTCTTAAAAATAAATAAGTACTGCAATCTTAAAATCTTAATAGTTTCAAAAATCTTAAGATGTTGATGCAGACAGAAGTGATTATTGGATGGCACTTTATGCTATTCATGGAACCCTTGAAGTGATTGATTTCTAAAGACAGCTGCCTGCACCGGCTGCCTGCCTTCCCAAGATCCAGCAGCCCACCAGTGCCTTTTCTAATGATGTAATAGTCAGTAGTTTGATATCCTCCTAGAAGGAATTCATGGGCTGAGGGTTCTAGAAATAGATAAGCCCATTTCTTTTTCCCTCTTTCTGTATGCCTCTATTCAAGCAAGTTACAATCAAACTTGGTTCACAGTAGTTTTGTGAATTTCATACAAAATAGTGTTGATGTTACAAATATATCCCAGCCATCCTATCACCAACAAAATGGGAATCCAGACAATCCCAGACAAAAACAGGAAGGAAGGCCAGAAGAAATTTGAGATTGTCTAATCCCAAGCAATTTCCATGATGTGGATTCCAAGATACTCCGAGTTTATTTAAAAGACAAAGTAAAGGGAGTACTGCTTAGAGGAAAAGAAGGTTCAACTTTAAAGAGAAAAAAAAAAAAAAAAAGATTGTAAATTTATAGTTTAACATCTTAGGGCCAAGTTTGAAAAGTTTACCCTGCTCTTTACCCATCGGCTGATTGAGTGCTTTCACTCCCAGGAACCCCTCTGCATAAAGAAGTGAGACTTTTTTTTTTCTAAACTTCTCTTCTGAAAATAGGACTTTCATAATAGATTACCTTCCACAGATTTAATTTACGCCTCTCACCTCTGCCAGCTATATCGTGGCCTCCATCATGAAGGTGTGCCTCACATAGATCTCATGATCGAATTAAAGTCTCCAAAATCGCAGCAGAGTTCAATGGAAAGATGAAACCATTCACTTGTCCTACTCTTCACTGCACTTAGAGGGAAAAATTAAATCTATCTGGAACAATTTAATATAAAAATGGGCGGGCAGCTAATTTATTAAGCTTTCAGTATCAACCAAATTCTTAAATCAATTATTTTCAGTCTGCAAAGGCAGCGTTGAAGCATCTCACATAAAATATGTAATTCCTATCTCATGGATAGGTGAATCAATCCATCAAATATATATTGTGTACTTATTACGAGATTACCTTTGCATTAGATGCTATGGAGAAAAACCAGAGGAGTGACACAGCCAAGCCTAAAGAAGTTTAATACTGCTTGAAGAAGACAAGATAAATATCAATAGAGGCAAACAATTATTCAAAGCTATCCATGATTAACTGCCAAAAGATCTAGAATAGAAGGCATATACTATGGGCTCCAGAGTTGGAAGGATTTGGAGCGAGGAAAGGGAAAAATGACATAAGCAAACACAGAAAGGTAGTAAAGTAGACCCTTGAGTGGGGAAGAGTGAGTAGATTCGCCAGCTGGAATAGAGAGGTGACATGGGTGGGACAAGAGGCCCTAAGGCTGCAGAAATAATTTATAGCCAGAATGCAGAAAGCCCTGGACACCAGAGGGGTAGAGTCAGGCATAAATCATAGGGAATGAGGGAGAGCTTTTGTGGCATACTGAAAGTGTATGTTTTAGCAAAATGAACCTGAAAATGATAAGTGAGAAGGTTTGGGGACCCAAGGCAAACAGGCAACTGTTGCAATAAAATTGACATGAAAAAACTAAGAGGTAAACAATGAAGAAAGCATATAAATACTAAGACCGCCTGTACTTGGAGAACAGTTTGAACCTCAAAGACTGTAAATTTAAACATTATTTAAATAAAAACTCAATACAAAAAAATGTATCCAAACTCCAGTCAATAGTGCTCTGTTTTTTTTTTTTTTACCCAACCTGTCCTGCCTCTTCTTAAAAATAAATAAGTACTGCAATCTTAAAATCTTAATAGTTTCAAAAATCTTAAGATGTTGATGCAGACAGAAGTGATTATTGGATGGCACTTTATGCTATTCATGGAACCCTTGAAGTGATTGATTTCTAAAGACAGCTGCCTGCACCGGCTGCCTGCCTTCCCAAGATCCAGCAGCCCACCAGTGCCTTTTCTAATGATGTAATAGTCAGTAGTTTGATATCCTCCTAGAAGGAATTCATGGGCTGAGGGTTCTAGAAATAGATAAGCCCATTTCTTTTTCCCTCTTTCTGTATGCCTCTATTCAAGCAAGTTACAATCAAACTTGGTTCACAGTAGTTTTGTGAATTTCATACAAAATAGTGTTGATGTTACAAATATATCCCAGCCATCCTATCACCAACAAAATGGGAATCCAGACAATCCCAGACAAAAACAGGAAGGAAGGCCAGAAGAAATTTGAGATTGTCTAATCCCAAGCAATTTCCATGATGTGGATTCCAAGATACTCCGAGTTTATTTAAAAGACAAAGTAAAGGGAGTACTGCTTAGAGGAAAAGAAGGTTCAACTTTAAAGAGAAAAAAAAAAAAAAAAGATTGTAAATTTATAGTTTAACATCTTAGGGCCAAGTTTGAAAAGTTTACCCTGCTCTTTACCCATCGGCTGATTGAGTGCTTTCACTCCCAGGAACCCCTCTGCATAAAGAAGTGAGACTTTTTTTTTTCTAAACTTCTCTTCTGAAAATAGGACTTTCCTAGTAGATTACCTTCCACAGATTTAATTTACGCCTCTCACCTCTGCCAGCTATATCGTGGCCTCCATCATGAAGGTGTGCCTCACATAGATCTCATGATCGAATTAAAGTCTCCAAAATCGCAGCAGAGTTCAATGGAAAGATGAAACCATTCACTTGTCCTACTCTTCACTGCACTTAGAGGGAAAAATTAAATCTATCTGGAACAATTTAATATAAAAATGGGCGGGCAGCTAATTTATTAAGCTTTCAGTATCAACCAAATTCTTAAATCAATTATTTTCAGTCTGCAAAGGCAGCGTTGAAGCATCTCACATAAAATATGTAATTCCTATCTCATGGATAGGTGAATCAATCCATCAAATATATATTGTGTACTTATTACGAGATTACCTTTGCATTAGATGCTATGGAGAAAAACCAGAGGAGTGACACAGCCAAGCCTAAAGAAGTTTAATACTGCTTGAAGAAGACAAGATAAATATCAATAGAGGCAAACAATTATTCAAAGCTATCCATGATTAACTGCCAAAAGATCTAGAATAGAAGGCATATACTATGGGCTCCAGAGTTGGAAGGATTTGGAGCGAGGAAAGGGAAAAATGACATAAGCAAACACAGAAAGGTAGTAAAGTAGACCCTTGAGTGGGGAAGAGTGAGTAGATTCGCCAGCTGGAATAGAGAGGTGACATGGGTGGGACAAGAGGCCCTAAGGCTGCAGAAATAATTTATAGCCAGAATGCAGAAAGCCCTGGACACCAGAGGGGTAGAGTCAGGCATAAATCATAGGGAATGAGGGAGAGCTTTTGTGGCATACTGAAAGTGTATGTTTTAGCAAAATGAACCTGAAAATGATAAGTGAGAAGGTTTGGGGACCCAAGGCAAACAGGCAACTGTTGCAATAAAATTGACATGAAAAAACTAAGAGGTAAACAATGAAGAAAGCATATAAATACTAAGACCGCCTGTACTTGGAGAACAGTTTGAACCTCAAAGACTGTAAATTTAAACATTATTTAAATAAAAACTCAATACAAAAAAATGTATCCAAACTCCAGTCAATAGTGCTCTGTTTTTAGAAATCTTTTCATTTTTATAGTAACTCCCAACACCCCACCCACATCTCTCTTTCCAAAACACCTTCAAGTTTTCATTAGGCCTTATGGAGTAGAACCAGGTGGCTAGAAAAAATCTATTCTGAGTTTCATTTAAGTGCTTTTGCTGTTTGTGTGCATTTCAACTTTGTTTCTGTGTCTACCAGGTGTGCACATAGAACCACCTTTTTTAAGTTAATGAGATTTGAAAGTAAGAGCTTTATCCTTTTTTTCCCCCTTCCTCTTCCATTCTCAAGGTGCAAAGTATTTGTTAAGTCTCTGAGATATACAAGCATTTTCGGAAGGTTAGAACTGGCCTCCTGTTCCCACAAAACAAAAGGTGCTGAAGAGGAGAGAGAAGGTGTCATTTTATGCAGACATATGCCACTTTACAAAGCAGTTGAATTCCTGGATATTTTCTTACAAAGCAGGTTTCTTTATTGAAAGACATTTTCTCAATAATTTTTTTGTAAGTGCTACATTCAAGATCTGTTCCTTTGGAAAACATTTTGACTCTTAGGAATGATGAAGTTTCAATTAAGAATGCAGAAAACCTTTCCAGAACACATGTTTTAAAGGAAAACAATCATTTTCTTAAGAGTATTTACATATCAACTCAAGATGAGACACAATAGCTGAATGCAAAGGAGGCAAGATTCATTTTGCAATTTGGTACAATAACTTCCAGGCGAGTTTTTTCTCTAGCTCTCTCCCAGGTTCTCAAACCTTATAATATCCCACTGTCTTTCACTGCTTGCTCTCAAGTTTCTTTACTCAATCATGGATGCTGTTGTTTTTAAAGAAATGAAAAGATTTGTCGGGACAAAAGGGTTGGGAGTGGGAATGGGGACACCACACCCTGAAAAGATAAGGATTCACAAAATGAATGTAAGTAAACATTTACTGGACCTATGGACAGAGAGAATTTTTAAATTATCAAAAAACAGCCTTCTGTTTATGAAAACTATTTCTGGCTTAAATTCCAAAATAATGGCCAACCAAGTGTTTTTCTATTTTTTTAACTTTCAAGACATATTGTTTCTTAAAATGTCTAAATAATCTCTAAAATCATAAGACTGTTGAGATTCCCCAGAAGTCATTAGTAGCTCCTCAAAACAGCATGTAAACTCTTCTAGACAAATAGGTATTTATCTTATCCCGTGGAATCGCCAAGAGGTAGATTTCAGAGCCTCCCCTAGTGTGATACATTTTAGTTCCTATCAATCCAAACAGTGCACCTGGTGGGCTGCTCAAAACCTACTGGAAGATAAAATCATTCCTGATCTTGTAACAACAGATCTCAAATAGTAAAGATGATACACGGCAGAGTCTTGACCTTCAAAAAGTGGAAAAGATGCAGCTACCACACTGTGAGGCACAAAAAGGTCATCATGCGAATGTATGGAATCCTTCATGCTAGGACTGAACAAAACACAAGAGAAAATGGCAGCCAGAGGGTAAACATCAAATTCGTAACAGGAATAGCTCTTCCCACAGGAATTGGTCAACCTGAAGAGCTAACTTAGCCAACTTAGAAAGGTAAGTATCACAAGAACGAAGCTATCCAAAATAAAATTTGGGGTGCTGCACGTCAAATTTAAGGCTTATTGTTATAAACTGAACTACGTCCTTCAAAAACTTATAGATTGAAGTCCTAACTCCTATGGCCTCAGAAAGTGACCTTATTTGGAAAGAGGGTAATCGCAGGTGTAATCAGTTAACAGGAAGTCATACTGGAATAGAGTGGGCCCTTAAACCATCATGGCTAATATCCTTATAAAAAGGGAAAATTTGTACTCAGATACGCACACAGGGAGAGCACCAAGTGAACAGGCAAGCCAACATTGGGGTGATGCAGCAAAAAGTCAAGGAATGCCAAAGATGGAGGCCAGCCACCCACGGCATAAAAAAGGCATGGAACAAATTATCCCTGGTAGCCCTAAGAAGGAATTGACCTTGTGAATACCTTGATTTTGGACTTTTAGCTTCCAGAATTATGAGACAACAAATGCCTATTTTGTAAGCTACCCAGTTTGTGACACTTTGTAGTGGGAGACTTGGAAGCTGGTATGGTCATCGAACATCTTGATAGTTGTAGCTTCCTACAGAAAGGCATTTCTTTTTCTTTTTCCTTTTTTTGGCACTTCTTTTCTATATTTAATATTAACACTGTCAATGTGGGGGTGGCAATGATACATCTTTTTTTTTCTTTTTTGCCTTTTCCTAAACTTCAGGTGTTAGTAGCAGATGATGTCCAGAGTTAAGACTTGGTGGGATATTAGAGAGCAACACATCTGCAGAAAAACACAGAACCACAGTCCACTACTCCTGGTCAGGGCCATCA